CCCCAAAACCCCAAAACCCCTTGAAATATATTTATTTAAGATTGGTTGTTAAGGTAGTGAAAATTTAAAAATGGAAAAATCAAAAGCTAACAAAAAGGGGCTATAATTGATTACAACATTCTTTAAATAGTAAAAGAATTAAGAGTTGAATTAAAGTACTCAGATAGCAGAGGAAATAAAGCAAAAGGAAACTTAATCTAAAGATAAAAATGCTCAATCTTAAGAGTTAAGCGAAGTTACAGTACATGACTATGGAAAACATAAAACCCAGGTTAAAAGAAAATCTTAGCCTTTTTAACCTAAAGGAATAATTTTCCCGATTAGAATTAAATTCCCTATTGTTGCTAAGTTTCTATGCCACGCAGGATAAGCTGACAAGTGGATTAATTTTCACTAAGCTCATCATATATTCATTGAGAGAGAGCCTAAAAACAAATATGATTAAAAAGCTATAAAAGTAGGGGTAAAGCAGCATGAGAGTTTTTTGTTGGCAGATGGATAATCATTTAGCCATAACTTGATTTAAGATAAAGAAGAAGTTGAAAAGTAACAAAATAATGAAGATTATGAGAAATATCTACAGACATTTTACCTCGGCTATGCACCGAAAGATATTGCTTATAATCTCTCAGTCATTCTAGATAACCCAAAGATATTTAACACTGAGAATGTCATTTATTCAACTCAAGGAAAGTAAAGTTTTATTGAGGTTGATATTCATCTCTAGCAAAAAGTGCTAAGAGATTAGAGAATACCTAAGGGATAGAATTATTAATTAAAGAGATTACCAGGAATGCCTGCTTACATGAGACAGGCAGTTTATGCTACTGCCAAGAATAACTTGAATAAAAATGTCTAAGGTTCAATAGATATTGAAGAACTAGAGGAATAAATTTAATAAGAAGAGGAAGAGGTCAAAAACTAAGAGGAATAAGAATTATTGAATTAAGAAAGAATAAAAAATGAGCAGAACAAATACAACAGAAATTTCATTCTGGTAATTGAAACAGTTAAAAATTACCCAAACTTATTTGATGAATCAGAAAAAGAAATGCTAGACATTTATGTCAAAAAGATATCAAGTAATGCTCAAACCATACTTGCTAGATTGATGCTCAGAAAAAGAAAGTGGTTCAATTCTGCTGTTCATTTAGCTAAGTATTTTTCAGATTAGAATACTATAAATGAAGCTTTAACAGAATTAGAAACTTTTGATTTTATCCAAGCAGACATGAAAGTTATTGAAAATCTATTAAGATAACTTCAAAATCAAGATGAATAACCTTAGCTAGAAGAATTAGTAGAATTTCTTGAGGATATTACTTCCTAAAAACTTCAAGATATTAACAAATTTATCAACAAAACTATTAAGGGAGTAAGGATTGAAAATTATGTTAATGTGCTTGAAGTGGGACTGAACCCTTTTTATGGGTTTTAAAATCATCTTGAGGGAATGAGTTTTGGTAATGATATTGATAGTCTTGATAAAAAGATTAGATAGCTATATGATTTGAACAAGAAACTTACAAAGAGATTTTCAGGCATGATTTCTGAGTATATGCTTGATAATTAGAAGAAATTTAAATAGGCCATTAACAAAAGGAATGTTATTCACAAAATATTGAGGAAAATTCAGGCATTACTAATGATCGAGAATGGATCTAAAGACATGACATTAAATCAGAGTGTAAATTTAAGTATGCTAAGTTCAAATGATAATCAGCATAATTTGCTAAGATTCTTCACTTTTTAATAGCAATCTTTGCTAGATGTAAATTTCACTTAGGTTGGAGAGAATAAATCTTAATCTGAAAAGAAAAAAGTGTAAAATTTACCACAATTTGATAAAATTCGACAGAAACTGGAAGATATTATGAAAGGTATAAGAATTATCATAAATGGGAATAACGAATAAATACTTTTTAAAATTGCTGGAAACATTGATGGTCTGTTATCTTGATGTATGAATCTTTTTTTCTTTTATCAAATGTCTGAGCCATTTGATATGCTTAACATGCATGATTACGGCTTTTACTAGTATGAGGAATTCAAGAATTATCTTACCTTTTAAAACCAAATAAAATCTTAAGATGATGAAAATGGGAAATACCTAAAGCCAATTTTTAAAAAGAAAAGCTAATTTATGAGATATGATGCCTTCACTTAATTACAAATTGCATTTGAGTAAATCTGAGAGATGAAAATTAAAAAACCTTAAATTCTAGGAGCTCTTTGTAGAAAGCTCTCTAAATATCTGATAAAAGAGTACTCTAAGTCTGAGCAAAAGATTAATCTCAATAAAGAAGAGATGAAATGTCAAATACTTGAGAATATACGTATAATTATCGAAAACACCAAAATGGAAAATAACAATCTATCCATTAAGAAACCATTATTTATACTGAGGTACAAAACAGAAAGCAAAGTTGCATCTGTGCTAAATGAGTGCATTGATTTTCTTGAAAAGGATAGATAGTATGATGTGGCATGCCTTATTCTCACAAAATTGCTTCTAAGTCCAGCTAAGCCAGAGAGAAGAGGCAAATGGTGGGTCAGACTTTGCATCGACTTAAAACATCTTAGAATGAGAAAAGAAAGTTTATGAGTGGCTGAGCATGCTATCCTAGAATCGAATTGGGTAAAAACTGGCTCTAAAAACGCACTGTTCCGAATGAAGGAGCATCTTTCAAAGATGCTTTTCAGACAGAACTAAGGTAAAAAGAAATTCAATAAGAAAAAACCAGGGAATGAGGACGAACCTAAAGATGACATTGAGTTTGATTTGATGCAACAAGAAGATGAAGATGAAAAGGAACTTAAAAAATAGAAAAAAGAGAATGACAAAGTCCTAAACTAGTTGCTAAATGATGTAATGATGTCTCAGAAAAACAACATACTCATGACATAATTAAATTCACAAATAGGAGATGTAATTAATCCTGATTTAGCCAACTAATTTCAAATATTAAAGGAAGAGGCTAACCTTGATTTCTATAAAGATACTTATATTAAATGTAAGAAAGGATTAACTTACCAAAGTCAATAGCAACAAATAGTAAATGGGGAAGCGTAGGTTGATCTTATGAGACCAATTTATCATAACCCTTTTAAAAATGAGTTTTATGATGTAGAAAATCTTGCTTTACGATTTTACTCTCTCCATTAAAATCTTAATGGAATGCATTGTGAAAACGCTTTGGGCTAGACTTTCTTTGGCTTATTGATGTGGAACGAGATTTTTTACGATAAAATACCTTATGTGTTTCAAACGCCTTACCAAGCAACTCCATTAGACTTTGGCACCAAAGATTTTTATCTTCAAAGATAAGAAATAATTGATCAGCGATTAGAGAAAATATCTTTGATGAATTAATCTTAATTAGGCTAAGAGTTAGAATTATAATACGACAGCAATAGAAATAAATTTAATGCTCTTGTTGGTTGGGATTCCCTCAGATTAAACAAAAGAAGGTTGATTGAGATAGGCCAAGTAATAGGTGGATTAAGATTAAGTAGAATAGTTAAAAATTATTGCGTTGATTATAAATATTGGAATCATGGCATGCCTGATTTAATACTTTGGGATTCTGATACTGGCAGAGTCAAATTCTCAGAGGTCAAAAGTGAAACTGACAGATTGTCAGAAGTTCAAAGAGCTTGGATAGCCTATTTAAGTCAAAGTGAAATTGATGTTGAAGTATGCTATGTCAATAGATAACCTCAAAGTCAAGATGAAGCTGAAAAATTAGATATTGTTGATGTATTTACTGAAAATAAGAATTGATTATTACTTATTTTTAATTTCTGATTTTTCGAGAGAAAAAAAAACTAGAAATATATGCCAATGGGGTTTTGGGGTTTTGGGG